TCAGAAATGACTCTGTAGGCTGCAATTTGTTTCTTTAAACGAAACATAATCAATGAATGGATTATATTCACAGGCGATTCCTTTTTTTCTTTTCTTAGTTAAACCACATTTTTACACAGAAGTTGTCGTTGATGTTTACGACCTGCTCAGCATCAGTTAGTAAGTGTAGAGCCTCTGAATCTATTAATTAATTTATACACGTTTCCAGCGGTTCGCCAAGGTAAATCATCGTCACGTGCTATAATACCACAGAAGAAGAAAAGCCTGCAATGAGAGGAAGTGGTTAAAGGTTAACGAAAGAATCTCAAACGAAGGAAAACCTTGTTAAAAGTTCAAAGTTGGGAGTTGGTGTCTTTACCAAAACCAACCACCAAAAGTTTTGAGGTCACATGATTTCTGTATAAAGTGATTTACTCGCTAAATCTGTTTCCATCACACTGTCACCAACGTTCAGCCCAACCTGTACGAACAGTTTTACGAAAATGTTTCTTGAATTTGTTGCATTTTCACCAATTCACTAAAATGTCCCCCGATTAAAACCCCGGAAGTGACGATGCACAGCCAAACACTTCCAATCCACTTTTTATTTAAAGAGCTTCTTCCTTCGAGAACATGCTCCAGATCCCATCTGTATTGTTCTGCTTATTTGATTTCCTCCTCGCTCCGATCGGAATCGGAGGCTCGGCCTGCTGCTTCCTGAATGACAGAGTTCATTCCCATACCAGAGATGGGGAGGTGATTGTGGGAAGTGAGCCTGAAGATTGCCGAAGTAATTAACGTTCCTGCTGGCTGGCAGATCCAATCGTCTCAGATACCAGACACACACACACACACACACACACAGACACACACACACAACAGATCCTCAAATTCAAAGTTTAACTGCGTGGTGCAGCACAATAATATGTTTCCTCATATGCACAGACAGCTGTCACAGTCGGGGCGCTGCGCTGCTTTGATGATTTAGTTAATGTGCTGGTGGATAGAGAGCAGCTGTCATTTACGTCATGTTTATTTATACATGTTGGTTAAATACTAATGATTTTTCCGGGATCTCCCTTTAATAAGGCTTTCGCTGCAAATGTAGATATGTCAGAAGTTTTTTCGACAATCGAGGGAATTTTATCGTCCTGCAGTTCAGATCTTAATCCTCCCTCTGTCAGACGTAGAAATAAATTGGCTCGTCCCTTCGTCTCTCCACTTCCTCCCCACGACCCACCTGTTCCGATATTGGCTGTCCTATACGGCTCCATTATGTTCCCCGCCTCTCTTCCTATCTCACCTCCTTTCCCTTATTCTCTCCATCTCCTCTAAAGCTCATCTCCTCCTCCTCTCTCTGATGATTCTCAGCCATCATCTCAGTTATTTCTAGTTTTTTGATCCTCCTCCTCTTTTACCTTTGTCCTAAATATTTCTGCTATTCTCTTCTTCCTCCCACATTTTGTATAATCTCCTCTATTCTCCCGCTCCCTTCCCTCCTTCCCACCTATCTGGGAGGGCAGGCCAGCCTTTTGTCTCAAGGTGACTCGGAGCATCTGGAGCTGCCGCCGCGATATGTGAAGCAATTTATTCGCAGGCGGGGAGGCGTGAGGAGACCGGACCCGGGTCCTCTGGCGCCTCCAGACGTTGTGCCCTGTCAAGGTTGCTGCTTGTTGTTTATATACATATAAACAGCATCTGTGTACTTTAAAATCCACTGGGACGCCGATTTGCAGCTCTTGACATTAATCTTATTTTAAAAAAGAGTTCAGAAATAAGAAGATGAATACAAGAGTTGGATGTCTCTGGTGGAAAATTATGAAGTGACGTGTGTGTGTGTGTGTGTGTGTGCGTGCGTGTGTGTGTGTGCGGGACTGAATAAATGAATATGTTTGAGGTTGGTCCTCATAGACTCGAGTGTCCTCCTGACATGAATATAAATCCTCACGCTGGTGACGGAGCCTAATTGTTCATCATCTTTGCATTGGCTTCATGTTTCAAAAGTTGATGTATGTGAGAGGACGACAATTTGAATGTGCACGTTAATATGTGTGTATTAGTCTGTCTGTAATGTGTGAGTGTGTGTGTGTGTGTGTGTGTGTGTGTGTGTGTGTGTGTGTGTGATGTCTGCAGCCTGTCCCAGGTGCTCCATTGATGTTTTTTTTTATATGCACGACTCGCATCTTTCATCATTTGGCAAGACAGGCTCTTCATCAATCCTGATGGAACCAATACACACATGTAGCCGACACACACACACGCACACACACACACACACTGACCTGAACAGCTGCATTAACTCCTCATCATTGTGTTTCTTATTACAGCACTTAAGAAATGAAATTAGAAACACAATGGAAGCTAAAACACCAGCTTGATGAAACCATAAGGTTTAAGACTACATGCTATCATGAAATGTAAGTGTTGTATTTATGTGGGGTTTTAAAAACGTATTAACCAGAATCACCACCTGCCAACAAGTACAGTTTCAGTCTCCACAACATTCTTCACGTACAAACGTTCCAAGGAAACACTACGGTTCTTAATTTAAACTATCAAGTAGTTCCCATTTTGCAAAGATCGTTAATTAATCATTTATACGCAGTGCACCTTTAATTGCTCGGACTCAGTGCCCAACAGAAGTAACCACCACATATGGCTGCAGATGGCGCTGTTTAAAAATTACATCGTGTTGCTTTAAAAAAAAGTTCTGGAGACATTAAACATTTAAATGCGACACTTGGACACGGAGCCCCAGCTGTGTGGAGAGCGTTTCAATGAACGGCTACCTAACCTCCGCTGCAGAAGCATGAAATCTCCTCTGGATGATTAGTGTTTGATGGAGGTCTGAAACGCACAGTTCATGAACAGCGGCGTCTTCCTCTGTGCCACCTGGATTATGTGTTTATCAGTATCACAGTATACTCATCATGCAACATGTCAAAAAGTGGAGGTTTGCAACATGTTTTGTCTTTTGGCAGATTTCTCTTTGTGAGAAGTTGAAAAAAGCAGAAAAGAAAAAAAAAAGAAATCCAATTCAATAGTTAATTAGTTAATTAAAATGTTGAAATTAGCTAATTAAAATGCAAAAAAATTAACAGAACGATTTATTTCACACAGATGGGGTTTAATGTTGCAGTGAAAGGCTTCAGCTGTAGTTGTTATTCCAGAAAGTGATGCATTTTGACGTTCGAGTGTAAGAAAGTTGTTATTTTGGGATATGATTTGTTCTAAAAACACAAAGTTGAGCTCACTGTCACCTTCTCTCTTATCCTTGAGATTTTCATATTTAAATCTATAAATAGCAGGTTTAAAAAACACAGAATATGTCAGTGATGATGGCGCATTTAACTTGATTAAAAACTGCTTTGTAACATAGAGGGAGACAGCGTCCATACAAACAGATATTTAGAGTCGACAGACAAAGATCCAAGTCCACCTGTGTCTGCATGAATCCAGGCTTCGTGTCAGGCTTCACGTTTCTTAATCACACACTCATCAGGGCAAACTGATCCTCTTTGCTCCTCAGAGATGAAAAGGACTCCAATTATCTTGAACTCTAAAAATATGGGATCGGTAGCACAGCGGAGGATTAAATCAATATAATGGTCCAATCTGACGCAGAGCTCCAGTAACAAAGCAGAGAGTAATGGAAAAATCAAAGCACTCAATGTTGGCACTCCGCAACATTACTCATCTGGCCTCTCGAATGGAGTGTTCTTATCTCGTCATGCCAACAGCACAGAGAGAGAGAGAGAGAGAGAGAGAGAGTAATTGCCATGGCAACAGGTCACCTTGTCCTGGAGTAGCTCGTCTTTAAACTTGCTACAGGTGAGCGCTGCTGGTAAATGTTGAGCAGCGCCAATGACGAGCCCTCCGAACCTGTCAGAAACCTTGTCAGGAGTTCAAAAGTTTGACGGCAGATTGGAGGTAAAAGGAGAAGATCTTCTTCAGCCCCCTTCTCTGCGGCGTATTTGTGTCAGTCACCGAGTGACATGTGACCCAAACGCCGGGGGGGAGGTGCTCCTCCAGGACGCTGCAGCAGATGACTGACGTCCATATGACAAAATGACAGGAGGAGGCTTTGATCACCATCAGAATGTCTTTCACACGGTTTGTTCTGTGACTTCTTTTTCCTGTCATTTTTATTACCTCCGCCAAGGAGGTTGTGTTTTAGACTGTGTTTGTTTCTTCTCTTCTATTTTGCAAGATGACGCCAAAACTACTGGATAGATTAACGCAAACCTCTGTGGAAGGATGTAGTGTGTGTCAGGAAGGAACCCATTAAACTTTGGTGCAGATCAAAATAAAGTATAACAACATTCCCCAAAATGCCAAGCCATTACTTTAAAATAGACTTTTTCCCTCCGTAGTGCTTAGAGTTTTTTTTGTGAATGTAGAAGTTCTGCAAAGTCAAAAAGCCCAAAGTCTCCTCTCCTCCACAGAAAACACTGAAGCTACTGAAACAGTTCGTCAGTAGTCAATGTGATGTCATATTGCCCCACAGCCAATCAGAGCACACCGCCCTTTATGTGGAGGTCGGCCTAAAGAGACATGGAGCTAAAACCAAGTGTTTCAGACAGAGGCTGTAAAGAGGAGCTGCAACAATGGACAGTCTGAGGAAACTGATGTTTTCTGAATATTACAGCATTAAAAGCTTTACAAGTGACAACCCAAATAAAAACCATGAACCTTGAATATGAGCACAATATGTCTCGTTGAAGCGAGAATTGAAAAATAGAAAGTTGAAGTCTCTCCAAAGACGACACACACGTGCATGCTGGTTCATCCAAAAAGGCTCTTTAATTGGTCTAGGTGATTAATTACAGGGAAAGGGAGCCAGGTAATATAGATACTAGAATAGCTTTCAATTACCTCATTTAAATTCAATCATTAAACAGTTAAAGGGAATGGGGGGGGAGAGAGGGGGGTGATGAGGGAATATAAAAGAGTGGAAAAGAGAGAGTGATGAAAATGTTAATATAGGCAAACTGATGAGAGTTAATACAGTAATAACAAATATTCCAGTAAATCAGCAATACCTTTACAAAAAAAAACATCAGAATGTGCCAGAAGTGTAGAATTAGAAAATTTTAAAGAGTGACTATAAATTCCTATCATATGTAGAATACATGAATATGACACTAACCAGCCTCAAATAGCACATCTTATCTATACCGATGTAGTACTTTGAATACAGAAGTTATTTACTGTGAGGCCCTGTGTGATGTTGTGCTGTACTGTGGCCTCACGCCGAGACCCAGTGAGGAAGAGTCCGAGGTTTAAGACACCTAGTGCTGGTCAATGCTGTCCCCCACACCTTTTGAAGACTGTGTTCATATGGACTGTTTTCACAAAGTCTCTGCTTCCACTGACTCATCGCTAAACGAAGACGTGAAGGGTTTAGCTCCAAAAAGTTGTAAATACTTAAAGAAGTTACCTGATGTTCATAAACAGACGTCTCAAAGGGATGAGTTCCCCTCGGAATGTGTTGCTCTTCTGTGCGCGGAATCGAAAACCTTTTAATGTTGGATGTTTTTTCACTTTGGATTTAAACTCCACTGTCTTCACAAATCTTGCTACAATGGCTGCTTGTGTTTTGGTGGCTATATTCAAAGAGACAATTCTTTATTCTTTTCTCCCCCAGCTGTAAACGGTTCATCTACCAGACGACACCCACGACCGAATCCCAACCACCCACAATAAAATAAGCACAACACGCACGCGCACACACACACACACCATGCGCCCACCCTCTGGACTGTTGTAAATCTTCAGTGCACATTAAAGCACAGAAAAACACTGAAGCGATGTCATAGGAAAGCGGCGAGTGAAACCTGCCAACTCCAGGTTCAGTGTGGTCCTCGTCCTTCCTCGTCTTCTGTTAAATGTGCGGACCAGAACTTTTTGTATCACGCAAAGTCACACAGAAAATGACAACTTACTTCAAGTCATAATTTTCCCCTGTTTCATTAATCGGACCACGACACCCTCTCCACAGTGGTCTATTCCTCGGGAACTCCACAGTATCCATCTTGAAATGAAATCCTGTTGTTTTCCCATCAGACCTCAGACTCCAGGCTGGACACTCGTCGCCAGGGGCGGAGAACACAGGGGCTCCCTCCAGGCTGGCCCCCCGCTCCCTGACATCCCTGGGCCTCTGAACCAGTCTGGGAACCCTGATAGACCCCGTAGGCCCCATATACACTGTCCTGGTAAAGCAGTGCTCGCTGGCCCCCGCATCGCCCGCTGCCGCAGGCCAGTAGCTGGCACACTGGGCTGGGGTTGCTGGAAGCCTGGCTATGGTGCTGCAGGTCCAGGGGACCGTGGTAGAGGGGTAGTCCTGGATATGAGTTCAGGTAGTGGGCGTACTGTCTGCTGAGCAAGCTGGTAGCTCTCCGCACCATCCCCCGTCCAAACCCAGTCCCATGTCGCACTGCTTCGCCATACGTGGGCAGGTGGGTGGAGTGGGAGTAGCGCAGCCTCTGGCCCTTACGACCATTGGGCCTCCTCTGGTCCTCCCTGATGTGGAGGTAGGCCTGGTTCCGTGAGAGGCACAGGTTGTTTCGAAGGTGGGCGGGGTTGTTGGCCTTGGTGGGTGTGTTTGGTGTGAGAATGCATGGGAACAGGTCTGGCAAGGTGGAAGGTGATTGGCTGGACAGGGATGACTGGGATTCGTCGAGCTGGCGGATTTGCTCGCTGCCCCATGTGGCTTTAAGGAAAGAGGGGCGGCGGTGCCTGCGTCTCCCTCTCAGCATGAGGTCCTCTGGAGGCCAGGAGCTGTAGTTCTCCACCTGAGGACCCACAACCTCCCCTGAGTAGATGCTTTCAACGCTAGGGGCAGAGATGTGGTTTTCTTGGAGGTGGTTGGCTTTCAGCTCACTCAGACGGACGGGACTTGGGTTATTAATCTCCTGGTCCCTGTGTTTTCTCCTCTCCAACTCCCCGTCTTCACACTGGAAACTCTTGGACCTCCTTTTCCGTCGGGAGAAGCCGGCTGGGATGTGTTGGTTCTGAGGCGAGGTGACCGGGTGAGAGGCGTAGATGTCAGGTAGTTGTAGATCAGCATAGGGGACGAAAGGCGAGTGAGGATGGGAGTCTACGTAAAGTCGCCCAGTGGTCTGGTAGTGGTGAGGGTGCTGATGAGGGAGGGGCTCACCCACGGCCAGATGGGGGCTGCTGAGGCTGGATACAGGAAGTGGACGATCATACAGACAGGAAGTAGAGCGAGTCGGGAGTGTGTAGCGGAGCGGTGTGGGCCTGGTCACGCTCCTTTGCTGCTTCAGAGAGGTAACAGTAGTCAGAGGTGGGGTCAGCGAGCGCTGTGGGAGGGAGGAGTGATTCTCAGTAACGTATGCAAATCCTCCAGGTACGGCCTCAGTGGCGATCTGTGGCACACGAACAGGCAAGCTGCCGCCATGACGGCTCAAGTGCTCTATCGTCTTGGTAGCGTTGTCCAGAGAGCTCTCAACATTGGCAGTGGAGACCAGATCTTTGGCGGTACGAAGCATCTTAAGCATGTTTGCTTGAGCGTAGTTGGAGGTCAGGTCAGGTTTGGACAAACCAGAAGAGCGCCCCGGTTCCTCCACTCCGTTGAAACAACTGTAAATACCCTGAGAGACAGAGGAGACACACAAAGAAAGAAACACATAAAGAGAGTTCAGCTGCTTTCAGACATGCTCTTAACTCCGGATCATTTCCGGAGACTCTCCGGAGGGGTTGAATGCAAATGTCCAAATTAGTTGTCATAGTTTCTCCTGCGAGTCCCCAAATAAAAACTCCAGGTAATAGTGAACAAGGAGAGAACACGGCAGGAAATTATTCAGAGGATTCACAGGATGAAAAAGAAGAGTCATACACCCAGAAGACTGAGACGACTTGGATAGACAACGGGATTCAAGAGCTTTTGATCCGTTTTCGTTTTCCTGCTTTGTTCTCTTACATGAAAGGCAAACTAGAAAAAGTCTGGACCAAATAACGACGACATTTTCCTGAGTAAATATCTGAAAACTGCTCAAAAGGCAGTAAACGAGTAGAAGACTATGAATCAGCGGAATATTTGTAATTACAAACTGTTTAACCTTAAATCAACCGACTGGTCCCATGGGGTATAATTTCACACTGGAGATTTCAACCAATTTGTGCATCTCATAATGACGATCCAATTCCCAACTAATAAAAATCCCACCGGCAGTAAAATGAAAAAGAGAAAAAAAAAAAAACAGATTTTATTAATATCTCATTTGATCACTGAGGCAAGAATGTGTCACAAATTCATTATGCATTCTCCTGGGACTCAAAGAAAAACAGTTTAAGCTGAGAGGATTGCCCCAATAAACGCACATGGACACACACGCTGCAAAGTCCCCTGCAGAACAAACCGTCTCTAACTGCACGGACAAACTGAGCCAAATCCCAGGACTGCTTTCTGTTGGCTGAGAGATCCTGAAAGAGGCAAATTTAATTTGGCCCTTGGGGCCGCCCCGTACGGATTAATGATCAGATCGTCATTTAGCCGTTAATCTGATAAAACCCAGATCGGGGCACAATGGTGTAATTACACAGTAAAGGAGCGGGGGGGGGGGGTGTTGACCACGGACATTTCCCTGGCTGTAACTTCAGCCTCAGCTCAGTGCCTCAGTGCCCACGCTCCCCAAACGACAGCATCTGGGGACGAACATTAAGCAATCATAGTTAAATGCTGAGTAAACAGCAAAATTAGCGCCGCTTGTCTTCCTCTTATCCCTCCTCTCTTTTTTCCTCCCCTCTAATAAGATTGCAGCTCCATTTTAACCACTTTCATAATAAAGCCCTGCAAGGATACTATGTAATTACATGCAAATACACGTCCGCTTTCACTAATTTATCATCTCATAAAAGCCACTTCATTGACAGCTAAATTTTAAATGGAAAAAAAGCACCGAACACCCACTTAAAGTCCAGACATTCAACGAATCTTTAAATCACTCAACAAAGCTGTTATTCAGCTTATACAATTACAGCCAGCCAATCAGTCACTTAACTGAACAATCAATGTGAAAACCAACGATGCAAATTTTCAAAATCACCTCCATAAACCAAGCAATCGAACCAAACAAGGATTCATAAATAACAAACTAACACCGTTTAATCAAAGCCGCATCAATCAATGGACCCATGGGGCAAATTGTGATTTGTGAATATGGGCTATAAAATAAAAATTTGATTGATTGATTGGGAAGTCTCACCCTGCTGATGGCCAACAGGAAGTCAAGCTTGTGAGACTTGTGGAGGGAGTGTCGCAGTTTCCAGTAGAGCAGGTGTTCCCAGGCGAAGACCAGCAGGCTGAGGCCCATGGCCACCAGCAGCATGTAGAAGACGCCCGCCATGTTGTCGATGTCCAGCTTGCTGCTCATCACCTCGTTCTTCTCGTTCTGGCAGATGCCCGACAACCACACCGTCTCCAAGCGCTGGGTGTCTCCTGTGGGGACGGAGGTTTGAGGGCAAAGACGGCAAAAGAACAGGGGGGAGAGAAAAAACAGAGAGAATGAGAGAACAGATCCAATCAGTGGAATAAGAGAACTAAGTTAAGTTCGGATATTAAGTAATATTTATTTTTACCAGAGTCATATGAGGTCACCGGAACAGTTTGAATCAAAGTGACAAATGTTCAAAGTTTGAAGAAATTCCCTTGAGGCAGACTTGATTCATCACGTTGAAGAGTCACCGTGTTTTTGACCTTTGACCTTTAGACACCAGAATTGAATCACTTCATATTCGAGTCCAAGTGAATATTGGTTCCAAATTCAAAATGGTTCCCTTGAGCTGTTCCTGAAATATTGTTTTCACAAGAACTGGACAAACGGTCAAACTAAATTAAGCTCCAGCTGTTTTTATTAGCGGGGCAGCGACCCCCCCCCACTTATACCTTATTATAGTGTGTCTGTTGTATAATTATGTCTTAATTCATGAATCAAATGTATTCCACTGCTGCTGATAAAGAGAAGAATTTACTGACAAACATCTCCATTAGCTAAAGCTTCTCCTCAAGGTCTGTGAGCTGGTGGCCACCTCTTGAGCTCCCAGGAGGCCTTTGGGGAGCGCAGCCATTTTATCACTCTTTTACCGTATGTCAACCATGAACACACTATTTATTATATCATCGCAGAATGCTCTGGGTGTGTGTGTGGGTGTGTGTGTGTGTGTGTGGGTTGGTCTAATCTCTGAGGAGGGAGGGTATTAACTCCACACCAGCGGCCGTCATGGTGAGTGTGTTTGTGCAGCTTGGTGGGATGTGTGTGAGTTTGTGAGTGTGTTGTAGAAATAATCGTATCACTAACGCTCCCTGTGGTTCCGCAGGATATTAACTCTTCCCTGTGAGCCCACTTCCCTGCTGATGCTGCTCACACTGAACCGGACTGATGCCAGTTCCACGCCTCTCGTACAGTGAGACGAAAACAAACACACGCAGATAAGACCGAGGAAGGCGTGAGGCCGTGTGTGCTATATTGTGTATTGGTTTGCATCAACGCCCACCCACCATCTCCGAGGAACTGCAGCAGCGCCAGGTCGATGAGTCGTTTCCAGCGGGAGTCCTTCTGCAGAGCGATGCCGTATCCCGTGGTGGCGAACACTTTGCCGCTGCCGATGGTCACCAGCTTGCAGCCCTCGTCCTTCCCGGCCATGTAGTTCAGAACGGCAGCGTCGTAGATGAAGGCGTCCAGCTTCCTGCGAGCAAATAAATCACCTCGCTCTGAGAGAAGGCTCGGGTCGTCCAAAGTTTAAAACACACTTACAAACACACTACTTGAAAGTTAGAATTCTATTTATTCCTAAATGTTTTCTCTCTTTAAGAGATTTTACACTATCATATATATGTAATTACAGCATATCTCCTAAATGGATGAGTACAGGAAGCTGTCAGATCCTTGAAAAGTCTTAAAATATTTAAAATTCAACTTTACGAATAAAAGGGATTAAAGAGAATGAAATTCACCACGGAAATGTCTCTTCTGAAACGATCGGTTCCCATATGTCTGCGTCGTTAGTCTTCTTCTGGTTAAGTTTATGCATTAAACTGAGTCTTTCTATCCTGTTAGCTCATTTATGGACATGCAAGTTTAATGATAAGTGGCTTGAGAAAGACTAAGTCTCATGCTGGTTAAAGCCAGCGCCTGGAAGTTCTTATGAAGGAAACTGTGCTGTGTTTTCAAAGTCAAACTTGGGACAATGGAGATCAAGGTGGTGGAGTCTAAAGGACATGAATGTGTTTTTTCACTTTTGGGCATGAATTTTATTTGAAGTGGTGTAAAAAAAACCCTCTTAAAAACGTCTAAAACTGAACTTGTTTATCACCGTGGACACCCTGAGGAATAGCGCTCATCATCTGGTGACCATGACGGCGTTTTAAAGGTGATCAATCCACCGCCGCTGCCGTCCACAGAGCCACACGGTTAGCTTGACTAAAAATAAACGCCTCCAGTTTCAAAAAATACAACAGGGACACAATTTGTGGAATGTCGAGTTTAAAATGTGCAAAATCACTGTTGCGGCTCTTCAGATGTGTTGGAGTTTGTTTGAGAAGACGTTTGACTGCACTTTTCCATACAAATGAACACAATACAAGACTTTTATCTAAAAATACACCCGTCACATCGGCCTAATTCACAAACAGGTGCAACAACACAAAAAGCACAAAGTCTCATCCACGTTATGATCCAGATGATCTCGTATTTAATTGTGTTGCACGTATATAAGTAGACTGTACCCGGTTTTGAGGCTTTCTAGTGCTTCTTCCACCCCCTTCTGGTTGTACTTCATCATGTGCGTGTGCATGTCGGGATAGTTGCTGCGGATGTTCCTCTCCGTGCTCCCGTTGGGGACCGTCCCGAAGCGAAAAGGAGGGTAATGCTCATGTGGTTTCTGGAACTGTAGGGAGAGAGAGAGGTGGGGGCGAGGAAAGGGAGAGGGGGAGGAGATATGAGAAGATGAGAAGACGGAGACGGGAGAGCAGAGGGAGGTATAGCAGGAAAGGAGAGAGAGAAGGGAGTAAGGAGAAAATGGAAGGAGAGGAGAGAGACTGAAGGGAGGGAGAGCAGAATAGAGGGAGATGGGAGAAAGTAAAGAATAAAAATCAGTGAGAGGAAAAGGGAGAGAGTGGAGAGAAATGGGAGAGTCGGTTGGGACAGACATGGGAAGTGAGTGAGGACGAGTGAGTGGAACCAAAATAAAGCAAAAGAGTAGGACAGAGGAAATTTTAAAAAGGAACCGAAAAGAGAGGACAAAGGAGAAAAGCATATGAAAGAGGAGAGAGAAAATGATAGAGGAGGAGAAAGGAAGACAAAAAGGAAAGGAAACAAGGGTAGAAAAGGGAAGAGAGAGAAAATGAGGATGAGGGATGAAAAGAAAAGAAAGGAAACGAAAGCAAAAAGTGGAGAAATGTCAATGAAAGAAAATTTGAATTGGAAGAGAGGAGCGAAAATGGAAGAAGGGAAAAATGAGAGAGAGGAAATGAGAAGAGGAGATATAAAGAGAAAGGATGAAAATAAAGATGGAGAAGATAAAGAAGAGGGAGAAAGGAAAGAAATGAGAGAAGAGAAAAAACAGATAAGATAAAAAGACAAGGAAGGAAAGGAAACAAGAGGAGGAGAAAGGACAGGAAATAGGGAAGAGAAGAAAGTGAAATTTGAAAGAAACTCAAGAGGAGAAATTATGAAAAGAGGAGAGCAGAGGAACCAGAATGAAGAGGAAGTAGAAAAGAGTAAAGAGGACGAGGATCTACTCAGTTAAATGAAATCCATTTTCCAGTCATTTCATTTTTTATTCTCAAAACCGATGGAATCGTCGTCCGAACTCAATCCTGCAGAAACGAACTGGACGTCCCTCACTCACCTCTGTCTGATTAAATCTGACATCAGTCCACACACGTCAGTTTGAATCATGTCGCCGCTCACAGACGACGCTAATCCGCTTCAGTCTGACGTTCCACGACGCCGTCACATCGACGCCGGATGAATCAGAAACTTGTCGGTTCGAGCTCAATTAAACCGTAAACAGGAAAGAGCCATTCATCACCGTTACGGCAATGACCTTTTGAGCCGAGCGCAAATGAATGGGCCAATCAAAATGTGAGCGTGTTAATATAATCACACACAGCTGTTTGAACAAAAGCGTCACAGAGGTTAGAAATGAACGGGGTTTTTTTCTGCAGTTCTCACACTGACACAGTTATTAGTCGACGTTAATGTTCCTCCACTGCCGGGCGTAAAGAGATTCTCTCGATATTCCGAGCGGAGGAAAATTTCCACTTTAGTCGTGCACGAAAATGTCTTTTAAAGTTGAGTTGAAAGTTAAAGAGCAGATAAGTGTGTTTCATCCAAACTTACAGTCATTTAACGAACAGTTTCCTGCTTTGTGTGACGACTCCGCTGCCACGGCTCAGTAGGAGTAAAGTTATTACAAATTAATAGACAAAAACATAAAAGCACCACATGAACTGCTGAGTAAAAGTTACTTGTTGGTACTTTGCTAAAGCTACAAAAGTAGAGTACAGATACACAAAACATGTACTGAAGTACAGTAATAAAAAGTAAATGTCTTCATAGCACTAGTCCATTAGTAGGGACTGAGCTCGTGTACCTCCGCTAAGTACAAACGTCATGACTACACACGTTTGTTCTAGTGTAAATATAAAACTGAAATCATTCTGCAGTTCTGCTGACAAACAAACAAACAGACGACGTTTCAAACCAGGAGCCGATTCAAAACAAGTCTCTGGTTTTTAAAAGATCGTTAATGCTCCAGAGGTTGAGGTCGCCCCCCCTCCCCCTCCCCCCACAAACAGCGTAGGAGAGTGAATGATGATGAAAAACCTATCTAGAGAAACACATTGTTGGTTCTGGCGTTTATCGACAGTAAGAATAAAACAGAACACCAGCAGGCTTGATCCTTTAAACCTGCAGGATGTGAACCCAGCCAGCCTACGACCTAAACCCATCTAATCCTCTGCCGTGTAGGATCTCAGGAAAAGAGGGAGCAGCTGAGGCTGTGTGGTTATTTATATTAGTCTTTTTTTTTTTTTTACGCCGTGGGACACGATGCATCTGCATAAAGTTAATACAGTCGGTTAATACGAGCGTAGATCACTGAGGTGGCTCGGCTGATCTCTGCCTGGGAGTTGTTTTTCGCGATCTGTGAGGAATGAAATGCTTTCTTGTAAAGCTCCTCTGAGGCCCTGTTTCCACACACACACACACACACACACACACACACACACACACACACACACACACACACACATGCAGTTAAGCATAAGACAAATTCATGGCTGCTGTTCTCCTCTGAGACTCGACGGCGTTTTTTTTCGAATCGTTTGACATTTCGCGATCTTGTTTTAGCAGTGTGTGAGCGAGACGAGCGATGGGAGACGGCACAGGGGGAATATTGATGGACGGACCAAAATACTGACAGGACAAGTCGAGACTCAGACACCATCTGTATTGACAGAAGGCCGTAATTGATTCGTCATTCATGCCACTGGGCTCCCCGCTGATAGGAAAAGGACAGACACGTTCATAACACGAGTCCTTTCAAGGCTTTCTGCTTGGTCTTTTGTCGCCTCCTTTCAAGGTTTATTAGTCGATGCAGAGACGGGGATAGAGGGAAAGTGGAGAAGCTGTGCTCTCTATCTCGTGGCGTTTTTGTCGCTTTCAGTAGCGGTCCCGTGTCATAACGACTCTTATTGTCTGTTCAGTCTCTTACCTTCTTGTCTGAGAGGCCGGACACCGTGTCGATATATTGCTCCTGGATCATGAAGGCAGCCAGGTTGGCAGTGTAGGACGCCAGGAAGATGACGGCGAAGAAGGCCCACACCAGGACCATGATCTTACTGGTGGTTCCTTTGGGGTTCTCGATGGGGACCGAGTTGTTGAAGACGATGCCCCACAGGAGCCACACGGATTTCCCAATGGTGAAGGTTGGACCTCCAGGATCTGAAGAAATGAAGGGATGAGAGAGACAGAGACGCTGGGTCAACGTTACAATGTCCTGTTTTCAATACAGATAAATCCCACGTCCAGAGGGAGACGAGAATAAAATAATTAAAACATGTAATTTATCTTCATACGTGTTGCAGCATCAGCTTGACAGGATTTCAGTTTTTCCTCTGCTGCCTTTTCATCACTGCTCATCCTCCTTTTGTCCATTCCTATTTTAATTTTACCCATTTTTTCTTTTCTTCTTCTCTTCCCTTTTTTTGTTTTCTGGCATGAGAGCATGGAACATAAGGTCTGCAGTTGTAGCGTTTGTGTGGAAAACACTTCGGAGCTGCAGCCACGAGTCTGAACCAATTCTGTGTCACCAGCTGTTGCAGCGATATGAGGATCCTAAAGTGCTTTGCTCAGATAGAATCAGGAGACTTGGAGCTTTCAAACTAAATTTGTGGAGTTTGTTTGAAGTCTGAATCCAGCAGAGACGAAAACACATTTAACGTGGAGCTGCCAAAGCCAGAGTTTCCACACGGGTGCCAGGGTTCGGTTGAGTTTAGGGACATTTTTAATATGAAGAATATAACGACTTTTGGTGGGAAATTGAAAGTAAGCAGCACTGTTTCGTGTCCAATGTTTCATTGACCGGTCAAACCACACAGACCTCGTCCAGCCACAGAGTTTGTGGATCTATTACAACTTTGTTATTTCATTCTTTTACTTCTGATTCATTAAGAAAAGCCGATCAGAGTGATTTACAAAATAAAATGGAAACAACACAGAGATGTGTTTGAAAACTTGAAATAAAAGCACGAATGTCTGTGTGGCCGGATAACACCAGGAAGTATGAAACTAAAGAAACAACTTTATTGTCTTGTGGGTCTGACAGGAAAGTTGTGAGAGCGGGTGATCCCCCAAATACTGTGCCGACAGTGTGTGAGCGATCAAAACCTTTACCTGCTACACATGTACTAACTGTCACATGGTTTTAAATGCTTCGCACACGCTCACCAGACAAAACATGTCCACCGCTCACGGTATAAGTATTCACCATCTACCTCATGCCCTTCTGCAAACTTCCAAACAACGTAACAATTTCACAGCCTCAGCCCGTTTCCATCGCTCTCTGCCACCGCTGCTCATGTGCAGCGACGACGGGTGCCGCCGCCATCAATCACACTTCGATTAGCGCGGCAACGAATGCTAATTAAAACAGGAAAATGACCTTTCGGACCTGGAGACAAGGCACGCTCTGTCAGCGCTGCATTCTGGGATTGATTAGCCCTCTCCCCAAAATCCTGTGGAGGAACTCTTGGCGTTGCAGGACGTGCAGATGGGGGCTGGAGTTTAGGGTCTCGCCCGCAGACTCAGTGTGACAATGACTCCTAAGATCCAAATTAAGTACGTCTTCTTTTTTTATCTCACAGCTGTGGATAATTTAAAACAAAACACTAAATATATCCTTGTCATATACTCAGAAAAAGAGCAGCATGAACTTTATCTGTTCACTCTTCTGAGCTTCAACGTACTGAGGAGGGAAGAATTCCATCGTGTCACAAAGACGAGTAACACTCACCTTTGGCGCTCACCAAACTGCGATTGTAGCCAACTGGGCTGAAGTACTCGAACACGAAAACCGTCACCGCCACAACGGTCAGGCACATCACGAACATCATGACCCAAACTGCTGGGCTGTAGGGCTCTGAGGAGGAAGGAGGAGGAGGAGGAGGAGGAAGAGGAGGAACAAACAAAACAGATGAAAGCAAGTTTCTTTTTATACTTCCTGCTTCTAAACCTCAGCGTGTGATGGAGGTCACCATGTGTGGCTGGAGGATAGCAGAGGGAACGAACGGTTTGAGAATGAGAAGAGAGAAATTGCATTTTTCATTTTGGGCTGAATCCTGTTGTTTGGGTTTTTTTGGAAAAAAGGGGGATTTAGGTGTGTGAGGGGATTTAGTTGTAGGCTTCAGTTATCAGTGGGATAAAAGCTTAATGGGAAGTTTCCTGAAGCCGCTGCCGAGACAGAACTCGCTAAAGTAGGCCAACCTGTGAGGAAGCAACATGGCGACAGTTTTTTTTTTTTTTTATTTACCAAGAAAGGCAGATGGAGAAACTGTCCCGTTGCTGCGGGCGACCATGACACTGATGCCCGTCTCGACAAACGGCACGGAGAAGTCGATGATTTCCGAACGCTCCTCGTTGATGGTGAGGGAGCCGATGGCCATGTCAGCTCGTCTGTACACAACCTGAGAGAGGGAAGATGAAATAAAGTCGAGCAGCGTAGAGGCACAGTAAAAAAAAACTTCATTTCATGTATTTATCCTGCATTTTGTTCCACACTGTTCTTAAAGAGACCTGAATGGGTTTATTTTAACTCAACAGGACTTCCCAGAGGACGGCTCTGCTGCGCTGGAAAGAGAGCAAACTGTGGAATTCATGAACAGTCCTTTCTGAATACTAATGCGGCAAACGCTTTGTGCTGTACAAGATGGTATGACTCTAATAATGGCTGTGCGCACAGATAAACGTGGTTGTCACATCATCTGAGCATCGTGGAAGAGAGAAAGCTGCAGCCCAGGAGCGCTCACACTCAAGGTGGCGTTTCTGAAAAGCAGGAATTTTGTATTCACGAAGCCATCTTTCTTCGTAAATGCAGTAAACACTCACACACACACCCACGGACACACAGAGCGAGAGCGAGAGAGTGATCCAGTCCCAGAAAAGAGCGCCTGCAGGCATGGAAACACAAGCAAAAACTCTCTCCTGAGGAGCACCTGCTCAGGGCATCTCACTTTCAGATGCAGCTGTGTTTGATGTGGCTCGCTGTGTGCGAGCGTGTGAGAAAAGTGAGTGTTAGCTCCGTATGTATATGCATGGCCACTGACCTAGATAAAAACCCATCGAAGAACCAAAGACAAACTCTCCGGGCCAAGCAGCGTTATTATTGTCACTTGTGACACCATCGCCATCGACCACCAGCTGCACCGTGGCACAGAGGTGGGTGGCGACATCGGCACAAGTCGTGCGTTGAGGGGCTGGTGACACCACATCTGTGTGACAGCTGCAGCAATTACTTTATATTTCACGATCGGAAGTATTATTCTAAAAACTTTACACCTTCAACTGCCTTTTTTTAGCCATTATCCTCAGAGTTGTATCAGTTGCTGTGCTTCCATTTGTCTGAATGCACGAAAAAATCTAAACTCAAATCTGTTTTTTTGTCTTAACTGATTGGACAGAGTGAAACAGAATGAGTAGCTCCCCTCCCCCGTCCTGATTTAAGCTTTGAGAGCCAGTGTAGTGGAATGAATCCGACACTGGAGGATTTGTTTCCAGCTGTTTGTTGTTGTATCGAGTTTGTTTCCGTCAGTTTTATTCAAGGAGACGTATTATGTTCACATTCAGGTTCATCTGTACAATTATTCCAGAAATCTCCGTCTGTGTGTGGCTCTTCATCTCGAGAACCTTTCGCCTTATCGGCTTCACGCTTCCTGTGTGCTTTGTTGATATTCGTCAAATGTAAATAAACTTTAAGGGTAATTAAAGAATATTTGCTTTTGTTCCATTCGCTGCAGTTTTCATGGAATCAACTTACCTTTACTTACTCACGTGTAATAAGGTCATGCTGTTGCCCGAAGCTACATTTATTTTAGATTTGTTTTAAAACACTTTGCTCTAATAATTGTCTGCAGAAGTCCAGTGGTGAAATTAACACAGCGGCACCAGCTGCTGCATTCAGGGGATTTATCTTGCCTCAAATAACTCAGCCCTCGTTCTCACCTCGCCGATCATGCCGTTCCAAGTCCCCCGCACCAGCTTGCCGTGTTTTCCGTTGGTGACCAGGTAGAGGTCGTAGGAGAACTTGATGGTGCGGGACAGTTTCTTCAGGATGTCTATGCAGAAGCCCTTACAGCACAGTTTGGTGTAGGACTCCGCGTGGCCTATGATACTGCGGAAAAGGATGAGGGGAAAAAAAGAGTAAGTGAGTCACTCTGTTTTGTTTTAACATGATCAAAAAACAACCCTGGCTGGCAGCTGCTATCTGAAGCTTATCGGCGACTAAAGCTGTTGTTTCACGGAGCGAGTTCCAAACGGCCGTGGGCTCGGACGCTGACACTGACCTGTCGACAGCGAAGTGAAGGGCAGGCGACGGCTGGTTCATTAGCGAAAATCAATACCTGTTAAGAAGGTGTCTTTCAGGGAGACGGACGAGGCAACCAAAAATTACAAACACACACACATGGGCAGCGGGACAAGGCCCACAGTGAACGGTTGAGTGACTGTGATGGCCTCTAATCAAAGGCCATTAAGAAGTGCGGTGTTTGAGGGACACACTCTTCCTCCGTGTGGCCTCGCTACTTAATGGGGTGTAGAAGAAGACGACAGAAGACAGGAAATGGTGAAAAATAATAGAATTAACAGCAAAGGAGAACATGATGGAAAAACTCAGGTGTTTTAGGTCAAGACGACAATTTTGCAATATTTTGGCTGACGCATTTCTGTTGGTGTGTTCTGCTAATCGTCCGTCACAGCCCGACAAGGTTTCTGGAGGTTTAGGTCCAGTCAACATTTTACATACAGCGGACAGCTGACGCATTTTGTGTTCTGCCTCGTCTCCAAACAGTGATGGTGAAACTAGAAACAGAAAACAGAAGCTTCCAGCCCCAAAATATTGTTCCTCATTGATAAATTATACATGTGAAGATGCAGAATTAAAAGCTGATGGACTGAAAATGAAGTTCCTGACAATAAAATCCTTCAAGGGCTGAGTCAGAGTGTGTGTGTGTGTGTGTGTGTGT